CTTATAAACTGATGTATATTGTCAATTAGAAAGCTCGATTAAAAATTTTGTTGATTTCAAAAAGGATTAATTTAAGTTTCTAGTTACTATCATTGTAGAGTTTGAAAAATGAGTTAATTATCAATTCCAAATTTGAATAAAAACTATTGATTTGGCCACAAAAAATTTTAAAAGTTTTAATTTAAGGCTAAAAGTTAACACTTTTATACTCCTTTTAATGGTCTATGATGTGACTTTCAAGAAATTAATAAAAACACTTGAATATAAATAAAGACAAAAATAGACAACCATAATTAAGGTTTAAGATTTTATATATATCTGTATGCAACCTTGACATAAATTGACGTTTTTTATCTTCATTTTCATTTGTATTCAGATGGCCTTATTTATAAATTTTTATAATTTAATAATTGTTGTAGTGTAAAAAATAACTAGTAATCAACCCGTACATCTGCACGGAGACAAATTCTAAGAAGATAATAATAATAATAATAATAAAGCGAAAAACAAAAACACTAAATCATAAAAATATAAATATATAAGATAAAAACAATATATTTAACTGTGTCAATTTTAACATTTCCGATAGGAAAATAAATAAATAAAGTATATATCATCTTTGTTATTATATGTAATAAATTAATACATGTATTGGTTTTGCGTGTGTAAATAATTACATGTTGTGGTTTAACTTTATTTACACAAAAATAAATAAAATAATCGTAAATGACTTGCTAACGAAATCGCAAATAATATTGATGCAAGATGAATAAACAATTATTTTTTTACAGTAATAATATATTAATATATTACTTATAGAACAAAGCCAAAAAAATAAATAATAATAATAATATGGGCCAAATGCGTGGGTCTGAACCAGCCATGTCTAATTGGGCTAATAGACAAATCAATATTTCTGTAACAAACAACAAAAAGGCCCATTATTGATGAAAGCCCGTTACCACTTTATGGTTTTACGAAACCCATGACCGAAAAGGAGAACACTGAAAATTCTCGGTCATTCCGCTCATTCTCCTCTATCGTGCAGATCTAACAACAAAATTGTCCCGATTTTCAAAATCCATTTTACTAAATTATAGTAAAACGGTGCAAATCATGCTATTATAGTATAAATCTATCAATATCTGAAATTTTTCTAAAGAAATTTACATTATTCTTTTTTTACAAAAATTTGTTTTAAGTTGAGGACTGAAGTCGAATCTTTCGGCTATTGACTGCTTCTTAATAAATAACTTTTTTATATTTTATTTTTTTCTATAAATTTTAATAGATCTAAGAAGATTCAACGTTTATTGATCTGACCATGAATAATAATTGCAAAAGTTGAACAGATTTGTAAAGAACTGGAGTTATATTTTATTTTTCAAAAAAAAGGTCGATTATGACCGATTGCAACAAACGATTGATGTCTGATTCGATTTCATTAATTTTAAAGTTACTTAGAGTCATTTTTGTAAAATTTATAACATAATACCTTTAGATCTCAGGCTGAAATGTTATTTTTTTTTTTCATTTTTTGAAAAGTTTCACAAAATTTGAAGCAACTCTATTAAAGTTTTCGATTCCTTTTTTCGAAATACATGAATAGTTTGACAACATTATAGTCCGTTTTAACATATTTTTGATAACTTTTATAAATCTGAGATGATTGGTTGAAAGTGAAACACACTGATGCAGGAAAACGTACAAATGGGAAGAATAAACGGGATACTCTCGTAAAATACATAAAGCTCACAATAACTGATTCAATCTCAAAATTCACCAACTAACAATAAAGTAGGAAAGTCCTTTATATAAGACTCTCAAAACTAATAACTCTAACTTGTTCTCTAAGCTAACTACTAATTATTAAATAATAATAATAATAATAATAATAATAATAATATAATAATAATAATAATAATAATAATAATAATAATGAGAATAATAATAACTAGTGCATAGCCCGTGCGATGCACGGGACACATATATTAATTGAGTCATTTCTATAGGGCTTGTACATTTTGGCAAAAAATAATAGGGTTGCATCATCAGTTTTCCACTTCTTTCAATCAGTGATATTTATTTTAGTCATAACGTTGATATATTAATTAATATATCATTCTGCTTACACATTATACTAATATAAATTTAATTTTACAATATATATTTATTCATCGATATAGAAAAAATTATTCTTATTCTTGTTCACCATTGAATACTCAATTAATATTTTATTATAATATTTGTTGTCATATAATGTCATTATTATTATTTATAAAGGTTATAATAGTTGTCTACTTTTTCTTAGTTTATGTAATGAAGTTATAAAATTGTGTATAAATGTTTATAAAATACACACACATGTTTTTTAAAATTTCTCATAATAATTAAAAAAATTTGATTTAGCAAATTGTCAAATAATAAACTCTTATATAATCAAGAGATTTTTCTAATTTGCATCCTAAGGTTT